CTCTTCTCTGAATCTGCCCAGGGGGAGGCGTTGGGGGCTGGGGCACCGGCAGGGGCTGAGAATTCCATAGCAATTTGCATGTGAAAGCATGTTACTGCCATGGCTATTAGTGTGTGCAGGGGGGCTGAAGACAGGGCAAGGACAGCTAACTGTCAGGCTGTCCAGAAAGGCCCGCTGCCTGGGTGGGGGAGGGAGGGAGGGAGGCCCTGGAGGTGTGCAAGGGAGGCTGGACCACCACCTTGGGTTCCCAGGGAAGGGTGAATCCTGAGACCTTCAGGGACCCAAGCTCGAGATGCCCAATCCTGGGTCTGGCCCCTACAGGGACCTCCAAGCTGTCGTGTCGAGGAGTGACTTCAGAGCTACGTGAGGTGCCACAGGAGAGGGGCCCCCAGGGAGGGGGACAAACTATTAGTGCATTTGCTTTTCCGGGTCTGCTCTTACCAGGCCTAAACCTCCCAGGACCATATTTTCCTCAGGTTTATAATGTGACCTTTTGGTAATTGCTTTGTATAAACTTACATAGTTTGTCAATATAAATACTGTGTGTATATATATATATATATATATATATATATATACACACACACATATATATATGAAAAAGATGTTTTATATACAAACACACACATACACACACACACACACACACACACAAACTCCTGGGGATTCTGGGAGAACAAAGCAGCTGTGTGCAAAAAGGGCTCACAGCTGTGGCCTATGAGGCAAGAGAGGTGGCTCTGTCAGTACTCCCTGTGTGCCTTTAAGTCCCTTCCGGTATCTGGGTCTCAGTTTCCCCATAAGGGGTTTGATCTGGAAAGGAGCTCTCAGGAAAGTCCTAGCTCTACCATTTCCTGGCCTCTGACCTCTCAGATTCTACTGAACAGGCATGAGGGCAGCAAGGGAGGCCACCAGCCAGTCCCCCCTGAGAACAAGGGCTCTTCCCCACAGAATCCAGCTGGTGGAAAGGCCCTGGTGCAGGGTGGCTTCCACGGTCTCGGCTGCTCCTGGTACCCTGGAAGCAAAGGAGCCACCTGGAGCTCCTCCCTAGGGCCCTGGTCAGAAGCCAGGTCTTTACCCACTGCTCCTGCGGAGGCTGAGAGAGACCAGCCCATGGGGCCACAGGGGTAGGTAAGGGCTGAGGACACACACCTCTTCTACTTCGGCTTTGGGAGGTGTTTATCATGGGTATATTTTGCCCAGCCCCCAGTCCAGGTGGGACTGGAGCTGGGGGAGGCAGACTGGGATTGAGGCCTCAAGATAACTTCTGATGAGGATGTTTAGGAACTCTGTAAAAGGCCAGCTTTGGTCAGTGATGATGGGAACAGCCAGGGCTTGGGGGCCACTCTCAAAGCAAGAAGGATCCCTGGGAAGCCCAGCCCCAGAGTCCAACTGCACACTCCACACCTCGTGAGAGAAGCAACAGCTACCACTTATTGGTGCCAGGCATTCAACACTTGTTTAAAATATATGGATGAATGAACAAACGGAAGGCTAAGTTTAGTACCCAAGCTTTTAATCTGTGTATCCTCCATTCTGCCTCTCACATCACCACACAAGAACTTTAAGAGCTAATCAGGCACTTAAAGGCCAGTCTAGAATGTGAGGTCCCTGGGAGCATGGACCTTGACTATCTTGTTCATCGCTGTACCCTAGTGCCCAGATTGCTGACTGGCATATAGTAGGTGCTCAGTAAATATTCTCTGAATAATTGAAGAAATCTAATCCCACTCCTCATTACCCAGACAGGGAAGTCGAGGCCCAAAGAGGCAGGGACCTGCTTGCAGCTGGTCAAAAAGTCACGGTAGACCTAGGACAGGCCCTGGTCTCCAGCCTCTCAGCACAGAGCTTTTTCCCCTGTATCAAAAGGCCCCCGTGGTGGGCTTCCCTGGTGGCGCAGTGGTTGGGAGTCCACCTGCCGATGCAAGGGACACGGGTTCGTGCCCTGGTCCAGGAAGATCCCACATGCCGCGGAGCGGCTAGGCCCGTGAGCCATGGCCGCTGAGCCTGCGCGTCTGGAGCCTGTGCTCCGCAGCGGGAGAGGCCGCAGCAGTGAGAGGCCCGTGTACTGCAAAAAAAAAAAAAAAAAAAAAAAAAAAAAAGGCCCCCGTGGCAAACTCCTCCTGCCCTTCCCTTTCCCTTCACGAATTCCTTATTCCCCGCACCCCCAGCTTTCCCTCTTTCCTTTCTCTTTGCCAGCTGGATAATTAACCACTGGAAACAAAACCTGTAATTACTGTCCTCCCCATGCCCTTAAATTGCTTTCAGTTTGGGCTCCATGACCCCCGTCCTGGGTGGGGGTTGGTCTCCCCCTCAGCAGCCTCCCAAAGGGGGAGTCAACCTAACAAGCACCAGCTGAGGCCCCAGCCCCCCAGATCCAATGGCCAGCTGTACAGGAGGCCGGCAGCAGATGGGCGAGGAGGGTCCCCTGGCAGGCTGGGGCTGACTCAGCTGGGGTGTCAGTGGGACTGTGACGTGCCCGGGCAGGACAGGAGGCCAGGCAGGCGGGCCGGATTTCCGAGAGTGATTGATGCCAGGTGGCCAAAGGGCCGCTGGCTCAGCAGGGACCAACTTAGGATGGTCCCAGTAGAGCCAGGTCTTTTCTTGGGTTCTTCAGCTCACCCTCATGCCCCTGCCTAGAGGGTACCAGGCCATCCACATCCCTGGTGCCTCCGGGAGGCCTCCTGGGAGCTTAAAATGGATCAGCGCAATAAGTCCCAAGAGTCCTGGCCTTCCAGCTCCACAAGGCCTATCCCTTCAGGGAAACTGAGGCCTGGTTAGCACCTGCTCAACTTGGCTTCGTTGGTGATCTGGGCTCAGCCTGTGGAGGAAGAGAGGCAGCTCCACCCTCACCTGGGAAGCATCCTCTACCCCTGACTCACCAGGAGTTTGGGCCCAGCTGGGACAGGAAGGAGAGCTGAGGGTGGGGCCAGTCTGGGGCCCTACCACAGGAGGCTCACAACCCCTGCCTCCAGCTAGCTAAGCTTGTTCCGTTCCTGACCCACACAGAGGCTAAGGGAATGGGGGGGAATGGCTCCCGTTCTTCAAGAGCCCCAAGGAAGCACACTTGCTCAGTCTCACCCAAGACGGGGCAAGGAGCAGGGCGGTGGGCCGAAGGAGAATCACCCTCTAGCAACTTCTGTCTGCTCATGGTAGAGTAAAAAGACCTGGACTTAAAGCCTCGTGCTTGCGTTCACTTGATGTGTGTTCTTGGCCAAGTCACTGCCCCTTGCGGTGGGTCTGTTTCCTCATCTCAAATATGGGGCAAAGAATTCCCCACCGTCCACGCTCCCAGGGAAGTTTATGAAAGTCAGTGAGATAACATGTGTAAAAGTGTTTTTATTTTTAAGTGGCAGGCACTGGCCGGGTGAAGGACACTGCCACAAGAGGCTACTGAGCAGTGCTGTGTGGCCGGCACAGCAGACACGGAGCTCAGACCGACAGCAGCCACGGTGCCCAGGCCAGGGCAAGTGACAACAGCCGTCACAAACCTCCTGGGCTGTTGAAGAGGCTGCCCTATACTCTGCTTTGCCGTCTCCCAGAGATTTTACTTCACACTCCTCACAGCTACTCCCAAGGGGCCCCCAGAAACTCGATCCTCCACTGAGAGGGTGGGGGGCAGCCGTGTCCTGGGCTGGGCGGGGGACCACCCAAGGACACTCATTGGTGATGTGTGGGAAGGGCTCTACCCAACCCAGATCAGGCTCCCCCTCAGTTAGAGACATCAATCTGGCCTGAACCAGCCCTGAGTGGAGACCCCTGGCCCAGGCAGGGGCCCCCGCTCTGGGCAGGCAGTCAAGCAGCAGAGGCCCCATCTGATCCAGGCACTTCCTTTGGTTAATGAGAAACCAAATAAACAGCCTCTGCCCCAGCTGGCTTCGGGAGCACCCCAGCCGCTGGGCCCAGCCCTGCCTGCTCCAGCCAGCCTCCCTCCCTTTCACCCTGCAGGTCCCGTGACTTTCCTCCCTTGCCTCCTCCATGCGCTTCCCACTTCCATCACAGCCCTGCCTGCTCCTTGGCTGGTGCGCTGGGGCTTCCTGCTCTGGATCGCTAACTAACCCTCCCCTTCCTTCCTCCTCCTCCTTTCCTCTAGTGCCTTCTTACCCATTTTTAGCTGCTGGGATCCCACTTGTCCTCCTCTCCTGACATCTGTCTCAGCCATCTCCATAAGGAGGGAGTCCCCCGCCCAGAAGACCTGCGGGCTGCTCCGGGCCTTGCCAGCCTGTGTCTCTGCTGTGGGAATGAGGCCAAACCCTCTTCAGGGCACTCACTCCACTCTCAGACCATCAGCCTGCAGGAGGGAGATGCTCAGATGCTTGGGTGCTCAGGGCTGCTCTAGCTTGAGGGCTTTGTCAGCCAGAAGTCCCCGAGTGTGCCATGGTGAGAGCTCTGGTGTGCAGGAGAAGGAAGGCTCTTCTGGTTAAGAAGCGAACGGACAGCCTGAAGCAGCCTCGTTACCCAGCGGGCCACAGCTGAGGCCCAGCTCTTGGGAAGTTATTTCTAGCCACCTCCAGGTGTCTTGAGGCAGGGCAGGGCTGGGCCTGCCAGCAGGTCCCAGATCTAGCCCCAGTGAGGTGGTGGCAGTACTTGTGGACACACCCAGGTCCCCATGGAAACACCTCCTCCCCCATCTACTCTCTCTAGCTGAGCCTAGTGCCAGACGGGGCAGATGCCCATGGCCTATGCCACAGCGGTGACAGGATAGACAGGGGGATATGGTCACAGGGTCCAGCAGAACAAGAGGGTAGAAGAACTTGTGACGAAGAAGGGCACAGAGCATTTGCAACATCTTGCTCCACTAGGACAGCCACCATCTTCCCATACCAGACCATATCACCAGTGTTTTGGGCACATGAAAATCACACACACGCGCTCTCTCGCTCGCTCACTCTCGCTCTCTCTCTCTCTCTCTCTCCCTCTCTCCCTCTCTCTCTCTCTCACTCATATACTCACTCATACACTCACACTTCATTCCCCAACATCACGACACCATTTTACACCCATTTCTCCATGTGGTTAATTTTTTTTTTAGTTCTCATTTTTTCTAAGAAAAAAGCAACAAGAAAATAATTCAGAGTTTATACAAAACATCTTTACATTATTTTTTTTTTCCAAAAAAGACTAGTATTTACACAAATGGCAACAGAAACAAAAACAAAAAAAACCTTTCGACTGCCACCTGGAAGGGGCTGGCTGTTCCGCTCCCTCTCCCACCTGGCAGTGGGGTGGGCACCTGGCCAGGAGGCAGTGTGGAAGTGGATGGTGGGAGGCCCAGCTCCTTCCATGGCCACTCTGGGAGTGCCTGCAAGGCGCTTGCTAGTGGCAGTCTGTTAGCAGCCGTGCTGGCAAGGAGCCGGGGTCAAAGTGCACGGCGTGCTGGCCCAGCCCTAGGCAAGCCTCTTCCTCTTTCCAAGCCCCAGCCCAAGATTGGGGGGCTAGCGGGAGCTGGGTTAGGGGGGCACCCACCTGAGCTAGAGCCCAGAAAAGAAGCAGGCTACCTGGCCTTATACCCGCTTAGTTCTCCGCCCTGGGCCTCTGTTTCCCCACCGGGCCGAAGGGTGCCAAAGGTGAGGGGAGAACAGGGCAGCGCGGAGAAGGGGGAACTCCCAGCTCTGCAGGGCAAATAGCCACCTGGGCACCTCACCTCCCTCCACCCCCCATGAGGTCATCTGCCTGCAGCAGCTCTCCTGTTCCCCAGGCAACAGCCAATTAAGACATTAATAACCGTGAGAGTGAGGGAGGCAGGATATGCCCAAGTATCCCACAGGAAGTTTTTTGTTTGTTTGTTTGTTTGTTTGTTTTTGGTGGAAGGGTGGCAGCCACTACCCCATTGCCAAGATCAGCACTGTAGAAGGAGGGTCAGTGGGGGAGGGTGAGACACCTTGCCCAATGGCACTCTTGTCTTCCCTCGTGGGCAAGAACAGCCCTGGCCTGTCCCCTCCCCACAAAAAATATGCCAACGAGTTTATAAAAGAAATGCCATCCTATGCTTCCCGGCTGGCCACATCCTGCCCCAGGCCCCTGACACTGCGGAAGGCTGGGCTCAGAAAACCTGGGGAGGGGCTGTCTTTTCCATTTTTCCATTTTTCTTCAAAAAAAAAGAAAAGAAAAGAAAACAGATGAAAATGAGTTGACAGCTAAAAAAATGAACACAAAAACATTAAAAACAGTGATGATAGCGGACAAGAAGTCCTGGGAAGGGAGAAAGGGGGCGAGGGGGCACAGGGCCGGGGCGGGCGTCTCCCTGCCTGCTGTCCATCAGCGTCCGACCCTGCCCTCCAAGAAGGGGTGCCCCCGCAGAGCCCAAAGGCCTGGCCAGAGGGGGAAGGCACAAGAGCATGGGGGCTGGGGGCACAAGCACCCCCCTCTGAAGCCCAGGGGGCGGAGCAAAAGGGGGATTATAAAAGCCAAGAAACTACAAAACTAAATACAAAGATGGGCACAGCTGGCAAGGGGAGGGATGTGGGTGAGGATGGAGAGGTGCAGTCCCGGCCGACTGTCCCTCGGGGCCGAGGCTGCCAGGGCCCTCAGACCTTGTAGTAGATGTTCGCGGGGCTCTGGGGCGGCATCTCCTGGACGATGTAGACAGGGTGCCCGTAGTCCCCACTCACCTTCTCATAGTGGGGGCAGTAGTTGTTCTCTGTAGTCCGTAAGGGGATGATGATGTCGCTGGGCTCGGTGCCCGCCGTGCCACTGCCCCCCTTAGGACTGGCCAGGGTGCTGAGCGAGAGGGCGGGCGCCCGCTGCTGCGTGTGCTTGCGGTGCCGCTTGCGCAGCTTCAGCAGCAGGATGGTCAGGAAGATGATGATGAGCAGGAAGATGACGCAGCCGGCGCCCACGGCCGCAAACAATGCCACCTTGGAGTTGAAGAAGCTGTCGGGGTCCCCGCTGCTGCCTCCACTCCCACTGGAGCCACTTTTCTCATCCTGGTTCACAGTCTCTGTGGATGGGGGAGGGAGGGAAGGGAGGGGAAGAAGGTCAGCCAGGGGTCCCAGGGACACATGGCAGATCTCGGGCCACGCCCTGCCTTCCTTCAGAGCTAGGGCCTGAAAGGGCAGCCGAGCAATGGCTTTTGCCCTCTGGGAGACTCCCATACACTCACCGTGCTTGCCGTCAGAGTCACCCAGGGAGCCCCGACCACCGGGGGCCTGTGTAGCCACCTTGATAGTGTTGTCTGCCTCCTTGCTGGGCCGGCTGGTAGTCAGCTGCTCGGGCATCACAGCATTGGGGTCTGGGGGTGGGGAGAGAACAAGTGAAGGGGGAACTCCGGCAGCATAGGTGCCTCAGTTACATAGCACCCACCGGCCAAGAATGGCCCGGATACTGGACCTCCGATCCCCTATCCCTACTGCCCCCTCTGCCACTACTCCCCATGCCACCCCCCGCCACCCAGTGAGGAGCATCTGTTGCAAAAGCCTAGCTGAGGAGCCCTCGGCCTGGGTGCTCACCTTGCCCAACCTTCATGACAATCTTCATGGTGCGTGTGCGGCACACACCTCCCTCCCGGTTCTCCAGTCCCTCCAGGCTCCCATTGGATGTAGCTGCAGCAAGAGGCCAGAGCAGTCAGGAGGAAGAAGAGGTCTGCCAGCATTACCCAGAAGCCCTAGTGATGTCTAAGCCCTTAAGAATGGAACTGGGAACCAGGGAGTTGCAAGCAGCTCCCACCCACCCATGAACCTTTCTACTTCTCTCCTCCCACTAGGAACAGAGTCCAGGAACTAGCCCCTCCCATGAGGATGCTGCTCCCGTATCATGACCAAGGCCAAAGGCCATGGCCCTTCTTTCTCAGTGGAAGCTACATGTGTCTCCTCATTGGGCGACATTGCTCAGAGGCCAAGCAATTAGAACTGGCATGGTGAGGAAGACTTCTTCACAGACTAGAAGGAATCCTAGATTAGGTGTCAGGAGAACTGGGCTGGAAACCCAACCCGCTCCCTAACTCTCCGCGTGATCTAGGGCAAGAAGCCCCTTCACCTCTTGGGGCCTCAGTTTCCCATGAAGAGAAAGGCTGAAGCTCTGCCAATTCTGCCATTCCCAAGGTTAGATCTTAGGTGGGAAAAGGAAATAAGAGAGAGAGCACCACGAATCAGAGTCCTCTCCCACCCAACTCCTAGAGCCAGGGCGAGCTGGCATCAGGCCCCTTGGTAAACGCTGGGGCCAGAATTCCAAGGCCAGACTACGAGGAGAGCACACCACTCTTCAAAGGGGACTGGATCAGGCTGGGCCTGAACTGTGTGCAGTCTCAGTGCACTACTCAGAAGTTCCCACTGCTACAGGACAGGAAAGAACCATGTGGTGGGCAGGGACTCACAGGTAATGTAGTAATCGTGGTGCTTCTTGAACTCCAGGCCCATGTAGTTGGGGCTGAACTCCTGGAACTTGATGGTGAAACGAATTTCCTGCTCTGGCCTATTGCAGGTGACCAGCACATTGGGGTCGAGCACGGTGCTGCAGGCAGCTGCCTGCTCAGGCCGCACCAGGTACAGCTTGTAGTACTCATAGGGCCGCCCAGCTTCTGCTCGGGGGCAGATGATGTCCAGCTTGTCTCCAATCTTTGGGTAGATCACCAGGCCCTTCCCACTCAGGAACCTGCCCAAGAGGGAAGAGATGGTTAGCCTCAGGGTTGGGGGTCTCAGGCCATCCCCAGAACCAGGGGAGCAGACAATGAGGGCCAGGCTGGGCACACTGGGTGGAGATGGCGAGGACAGGCATTCTGTCCTTTTTCCATCCTTATGCTGGGGGTGGGGAAAGAGAACCATACTGCCAGCAGGGTGTGGAAGGGGTGGCCCATGGGCAAGGCTGCCAGGCTTTGACTGCTCGGCAGGGTGGGGCACTGCCTAGCTGGGGGAGCCCTTTGTCCTAATGTGGCATTTCCGCAGGGGGGCTGACGTGGCAGATGGGCTGGGCACCTAGATGTCAGGCTTGGGTTGCCTGGATGTGGCAGCCCTGTCCTCCTCGCACACCCAACATACTCACATTCCTTCATAGCCTCTGCTACCGGCCCCCCAGCACACACGCATGTATATGCGCTCATGCGCACAGACACACACAAAGAAGCACACACACAATGAGCCCTAGAAACCACCCCCACAGCTCCCAGCCAACGGCTGGGGATGCACAACCTATCTTGGCCCCATGCCTTTTCCCCCATCCTTGCTAATCTTGGGCATGATGGGGAGATAGAACAGGCCTTGCCTAGAGCCAAGGGATAATGGGCACAGTCTCCAGCCAGGTACAGCTCCACACAGCTCTCTCCACTCCCCACTCCCACTGCCTGGCATCCTACCAGGACTCATCCCACCCCCATAATGCAAAAGCCTGAATCCCCAAATGAGTGAGACTGGCCAGTCTCACTGCAAAGGATAACAGAGAAAGGGGAGAAGAGGCCTGAGCAGGAACAGCAGATCATATAAGACAGAGCCCCAGGAACCTCGCTCATCTGCCTTCTAATCCACTCCCACCACACACACACACACACACACACACACACACACACACACACACACACACACAGCCTCTGCTCCCCATCCTGAGAGGAGATGGACAAATGCCTCCCGAGCCAGGTTCATCTTCTAATCCAGAAGGCCAGGCACTGGGAAATAGCAGGGGGAGGGCAGCTGCCTGGGGCAACCGATTCATATCATCCTGTCCTTGCCTAAGCACAGTAAGCGCTCTCGGCCATTTCTGAGCCTGGGAGCAAGTCAGTACAATGTAGGAGAAAGAAAACAGACTTTGGAATCAGATGGATGGTGGCCCTTACTAGCTCTGTGACCTTGGATGAGCTGCCTGATCTCCCTATCTTTCAGTGTCCTCACTTATAAACTGGGGGTGGGAAGAGCCCCTCCTCCAAGGATGGTGGAGGGGAGGCATGATGGCATGTATAGAGCACATAGTTGGCACTCAACCGTGATTCCTGCTTAGAAATAGCATGGTCTGCCAAGAGGCAGGAGGCCAGACACTAACACCAAGGACCAGTCTTGTTTCTTGGGTGGGAAAGAGGAAAAGATGATACAGCTCCATCCTCAAGGACTTTACTGTCTGGTGTGGTTCAGAAAAGTAAATGGCCCATGCCGCAGCAACGGATAGCACCAGGCTATCTGGAGGCTATGTGAGAGGATGGTGGCTCAAAAGGCAAGGGCTGGAGGCAGAGAGAGGAAGGAGACAGCTCATCTGACAGGACAGTCGAAAATGGTCCCACAGAAAGAGTGGGATGAAAGCGGATCCTGAGGGAGGAATAAGAAGTCAACATCCAGCAAGAGCAGGCAACAGTGGTTGGGACAAAAAACCCAGGCCAGTGACTGGCCCAGTGATGGGTAGAGAGGAGCAGAAGAAGAGGGTTTGCTCAGCTGGGGCCAGACTGAAAGGCCAGGGTCACAACAAGCAGTGTGGGTTTCACCCAGTGGGGGACAGACTCTCTAGCAGAAGGGACAATGAAGGGCCAAAGGCAGTGCTTCAAGGGAATGAAGCTAACGGTGGAAGAACATGGTTCTACTCCCTGAGGGCCCATTCCATAGTGGGGGCTACAAGGCACAAGGGCCTCCTGGGTGCTCAGTATCCTCACCGGATGGAGGGAAATGATACCCAAGGAGGTGACTAAGGGAACTAGACCAAGTAGATGGAGTGGATGAAGAACAGCAGCCCTCTCTCCACGTCCAGGGAAGCTCCACTAAGCTGGGACCTGCCATCCTTCTGTGCAGGAGGGTAAAAGCAAAAACAAGGAGGTCTCACCTGCCTTAGTACCTAGCTTTACCACACTCCAGAAGGCCAGAAAGGAAGCAGGCATGGGATGGAGGCCCACACAAACATTTGAGAGAAAACACCCCCAACTCCATGCGCTACAGAAAGCCAAGAAGTTTCACCAAAGCCTCTATAATTCCTAAGGCATTTTTCACTTTCCAATCTTCATACTGGTTCCATCCAGGCAGTAGGATTAGACAACTTCTAACATCTTAGAGATAGAGGGAACCTTCGAGACCTACTGAGTCCAGGCTCCTCATGTGAGGGAATGAGTAACCAGATGAATGTTCCTGTTGAAGAGGGGTGCTCAAAGCCAACCCGAGGAGCCTAAACTCACCCAGGATGTTAACTCCTAGGGGTCTAAGAGTACCTTAAACATTGGCTGAATCCTTATACAGCTGCAACTCCGTAAGACCGTACCTGGAGATGACAGCAGGTAGAGGGCACACAAAGGGGTACAGGGGCCAGCTCACTTTTCTAACCACTAGGCCCGCCTTACTCACCAGGGAGTCTTGTCTACCCTGAGCAGTCTCCCATCACCATTCAGGTTCTGGAGCCCTGGAACCCAGAGACAACCGAGGAAACAGATGTCTACATAGTGGGTGGGGGAGGGGGAGGAGAGAGGACTATTGCCCCCAACACCCCTCAGACTCTTGTCAACCTCAGTGAACAGAATTCATAAATATTCATGAGTTCATTTGCATAGCAGCTGGCAGAGGGGAAACTCACCTTCCCCTAAAGTGCAGAAGGGAGAGGAGCCTGATGAGACCCACCTTCCCTGACCCTTGTCCCCCATGATGGTACCTTCTCAGCTTCTTCCCCACCACTGAGAAAAGTGCCTCTGGGCCTGTGAGAAGCCCCAGAAAGTGGTGAGGGGCCACGAGGTGTGGGTATGCAGCCCGTGAGAGTGAAGCCCAAGGTCAGGTATGACGCTAGTCATCCTGTACAGCAGGGACCCTGCTGGTCTCCCCTCCTACCCACCAGGTTAGGAGTAGGGGCCGACAGGAGAAGGAAGAGAGTACCTAGTTAAACTCTTTACCCCCCAGTTTTCAAAAACTACTACTCCCCCCATTATCAAACCAAGCTTTCCTGCCTGGGGCCACCCCCAGACAAAGCCCTTTTCTGGAAAATAAGGGGACTGACATGGCCCAGCAGGAAGCCTGCAGCAGGTCGCCATGGTAACCCCTGAGGCCTTCCCTCCTTAGCCTCTGATAGCCCCTGGGACCCCAGGGAGCCACTCCAGGGAGTAAAAGGACTTAGGGGAGGCAGCCTGCCATTCAGTCTCCTGTCTGTGGCCTGCCTCTTCCCCTCCACCCTAGCCCAAGTCTCTCCCCCAGCCTGCCTACTGAGCTTAGAAGTATCACCATGACTGCTGAAAAGAATCCTGGGAGAGAAGAAGCCTGAGGGTCTGGGGTAGTGGCCAGTGCTGGTCAGAGGCCAACTGCCCCCCTGTCCAGTTAAGCCCCTATCCACCCATACACAGACAATCTATAGCAGAGAGAGTTTGGAGCTATGGGGGTCATGCCTAGAAAGCTGCCCATGTTCCACCACACTTCCTTCCCTCTCATCCTTCCCTCAGGCCCTAGGGACTTGTGGTCAGCGAGTGGCCAAAGGGAGAGCCTGGTCCTAGGCCATGCCAGCCCAGGTTTGGTAGAAGACTCTAGCCACAGCTTTGATTCAGTGACTCCGGCACCACTGCGCCTGCACCCCAGGGTGGCAGGACCAGTGGAGGACAGAACCCAAGCTGGAGCTCAAGTGTGCTCTCATCCCAGCAAGGGTGGGGAGACCCCAAATTAAAGGCTCCTCTTTCACTCCCCCAGCTCCACCCAGCCCCCGAGGCAGCAGGAGCAGGCCTGGCATGTCCCAGCAGTGCCCGCCCAGGCGTGGGTGGGCAGGAACAGCAGCTGGGTCCTGGCACACACACAGTACTGTCGGAGGCAGGGAAGCCAGGAGAGCCCCAGAGGAAGTCACCCCCCCACACACTGAACTATGCCTCCCCTCTGCCCCACCTGGCCAATGCTAGGGCCCACTGAGGGCTTAACAGCCCCTTCCTTGTTGTCTGCTTTCTGTGGGGTCCCTGAGAGGCAGTGAGATTCCTGGCCCAGAGAGGAACCAAGGCTGCTATTCAGAGCCCAGGAGGGAGAGTGCCAGGCATCGAGCTGGCTGCCTCTAGATCAGGTCACCCCGAGCAAGCTGCCCTCAGAGGTAGGCCTAGCAAAATCAAATGAGGAAGCTGGAGCACTGCTCATCCCACGTGGGCAGGGCCTGAGTCACAAGGACAGATGCACACACACCTGTGAGGTGAGAGGGAAAGCCGGGGGCAAAAGCCAGCGCCTCCTCTGAAACCCAGTCTCTCCCAGATTCCAAGGCAGTGGGATGGTGTGGAAAGAATGGCACAAGGCACAGCTCTCCCCACTACGAGCTGACTGACTTTAAACAAGTCATTTTCCTTTTCTGGGCAAATGCCTCATCTGGAAAATGGGCAATGCCAACTTCCCAGGGCTGCTGGGAACATCCAATGAGGTCATATCTGAGAATGCTTTGGAGGTAGCAAGGTACTGCCCAACGGTTAGTTAGCACACCAAGCATAGTACCATTTAGAAGAAGCTGAACGAGCTTACTACACTCCTGGCTGCTAGCACTGCCACCCAAAACAACTACAATGAAAACCCACCCAGGAGGGGCTGCTACAGAGCCCAGGGCAAGGAACCCAGAATATGGCTGGTGAGCATCCCCTTACCTCAGCTCCCCTAATAATCACAGGGTGGACCCTCCCCCCAAACCTACTGTTCCCATGGCAACCAGCGGCCTCCTGGCTGGCCCACCCACTCCATACTCCCAACACCAGAAAACAGTGATGCACAGTAGTATCCAGGGCCCACTCATCCCCATCCATCACAGTTGGTGAGGCAGTGGAGAGCCTGAGGGGAGAAAGGGAACCCTGGATTCAGCCTCCAGTCCAGCCTCACCAGGCCCTTCTTGCCCCAGGTCTGGCTGCCTGGGGTTGGCGGAGGGAGGGAGGGGAACAGGGAACTTGAGAGGAGCTGCTGGCTTCCCATCACTTTCAGGCCCCCACCTGTGGCCAATCAGCCACAGAGTAGAAGGGGTCAGGTCCCTAGCCACCCCGGAAAGGGGCCCCCTGAGCTGGCCTCCCCAAGACTGTGAGCCGGAACAGCTGTGAGGGGGCTGGGACCAACACTTTGGCTTGTAGCAGGCAAGCCTGGGTTGGGGTCTGCAGCTGCCCCCACCCATGCTGGATGGAGTCAAGGGTCCTGGATGCCAAGCTGAAGCCCCCACCCCCGCCCCTTGCAGCGCAGGCGTAATATGATCTCAGGCACATTCCCACTCTCTGGAGGTGGAGGAACCTGAGTGGGGGGCAGGAAGGGGTCAGAATGGGACTGAGAGACTGAACTGCAGCAGCTGGACTTGGCTGAGGACTCAAGTATGAGGCCTGCCGGCTGCCCCAAGTTCTCAGGGGAGGAGGCTGGAGGAGGGGTCTGCCCTGGGACCTTCCATCACAGCCCCCCCACCCCACACAAGCATGCCCATGTACTCTGGTTCCTCCCAACCTACAACGGGCCCAGACCCACCTTCCCACCCTACACTTATAGGGCAAATCTGACAAGGGGCCAAGCTCTTGCCACCCAGGGACTACCACCCTGGAAGGCCACAGCACCAATTTGGGAAAGAGGCTGGGAGTCTGGAGTCAGCCCTTCCGGCTCCCCTCTCCCGGTCAGGGCTGGGGCTGCCCGAACCCTGGAACCTGGAAACATACCCCCAGCCCCACCACTTCTTTATTTTGATTTTTTTACCAAGGAGGAAGCAATTAAGCAGGGTTTATAGGCGCTGGGAGATTTCAGGGCTGGGGGGGGGGGGTTGCCAGCTCCTGACAGGACTGAAGCCAGAGACCAAAAGCTGGGAGGAAGAGGGGAGGGAAGAGAGAAAATGAGCCTGTGAGGGAGAGCACGGGCATGTGCGAGAAACAAAAGGACTCGAGAAAAAGAGGCAGAGAGTGACTAAGAGTGAGAGGGAGTGTGAGAAAGAGGGAGAGCGGGCAAGCAGAGCTGGAGAGGGGAGGTGAACGCGGCTCACACAGGATGTGAGAGGGCGAACCGACAAGGGCCTGAGAGGGAGAAGTCGGGCAGGAGGAAAAGCGGGAGAGACGGACAGGAAAAGATAGTTGATTTGAAAGGCTGTGGCAGTCCCAGGCTTGGGCGCAGTGGCAGAGACAGCCTCCCCGAGCTCAGAGTGAAGCTGAGGGCAGTGCCTTCCTCCTGTGCTCCTGCCCCCCCCCCCAAACCCGTGCCAACACACACAGACAGGCTGCGTTCCAGACCCCTGAGCATAGATGGAACTCTGGGGGGGGGGGTGCTGCGTGCAGGGGCACCAGTATCAGTCCCCCACCATTCCCAGGATCTGGTCAATTACAGGATGGAATTCGTGCAAGTCCTATTGAGGCCTCAGCCACCACTCCCACCACCCCCAGGATGCCTGCCCTCAGCCTGAAGTGGATCGGGGAATGGGGCAGATCTCAAAAACCTGCAAACCGTTCCAGAGCACTCAGGCCTCAAGACACAAAAAGGGTGAAGCTCAGGGAGATCTTGTTTCTCCCAGCTACCCCCCCACCTCACTCTGCAGGAGGGCTCCTTTCCAGCTGTGGAGCTGCCTGCTATCTCTGGTTAGAGACCCGAGAGAGCAATTAGGTCACTCCCATGAGCCCCTATGATGGGCTACCCCAGGCTGATTTCAGCTCTCCTGGCTCAAGAGAGAGCATTTCCAGCCTCCACCTTTACAGGAGGGAACTGGGCACTTCACAGCCTTTCTCCTTGGTCTGAGCAGCCCGAGGCCCCCAGACCATTTTGAGTCCCTGCTGTTAGGAGAGCACTGGGCCCAGTTTGGCTTCTGGGTTAAGGAAAAATCGTTGTCAATCCCTTTCCTTGTACCCTGACCCTGGTTTAGACATCCCACTAACCAATAAATAGGACCGTACCTTAACCTAAGGAGAAAAGAACTAAAGAAGCCGCCCTCTCCCACTCCAGGGCTGAGAGGTGCATGGCCCCTGGAACCTAAGAGGTCAAGACAGGCAGGAGCTCGGGAAGTTAGCGGGGAGCCCATAAGAGTGGACAGGAAGAGATTCCAGATACAGGAATCATAGAGCACAGAGGGCAGGCCAAGGGCCCCCAGTTTCCCACTAAGTGGGGTGTCCGCACACTGCTGGGACCTCCAGAAAACAAGAAGGAAGAGCAATTTTGACCCTGGGTTCCAACCTGAGTCCTGGATGCCAAAAGAGAAAAAGGTCCAGAGGTCACTACACAGTCCAGCGACTCCCCACTAACAGCCCAGAAACCACTGAGCCACAGCCCTGAAAGGTGTGTGTGTTGTTGGGAGGTGGGGGAGGATTGTGAAGGGTAAGGAAGAGGGAGAAAAGAAAGGATCTCCTCTACATAGCTGCCTCCCCAACCCCTTTGGGAAAGCTAAGCACAACTCCCCAATCTGAGGACAGAGGGTGGGGGGGCCAGTGGGACCCGCCTGGGCAGGAATCCTTTGCTTGCCACCCACTTCCCTCACCGCCTCGGCCGCCACTCTCCACCCCGGCCAGCCCTGGAAGCTCTGCCGCCGGCTCCATTGGACCCCCGACGAGCGCTGGATCGACCCCCCCGCCCCAACAAAACCTCTCTCCCACTCCGCCCCTCTCCACCCGCCGCCTTTGTGCGCCTGGGAGAGGTGCCCGCCCTTCCACGGACCCAGCAGGGAGAAAGTGGAGGGGGGAGGCTAGAAGAGACGGCAAAGCGAAAAGCTAGGGAAGCAAACTGGGAAGAAAGAGAAATGAAAATGAGAGAAGCCCGAATGGAGATACAGGCACTGCCACCCGCCCCAAGCGCGGAGTCCCACGCCACGGTCCCTTCACAGCTAAACAAACGGGGAACCTGTGTTCCGATCTCTTCCCCCGCCCAGGTCAAGCTCGCCCACCCCCCGCCCCCAGCGGCTCTTGGCGAAAACCGCCACGTTCCCAGGGGCCCCAGAGGGGGCTGCTTTCTCTCCCCGACCCAGCTCTCCGGTGCGCTCAAGGGCGCTCAGACTCCCAGCTCCGCCCGGCGCGACAATCTCGACTTGATCCGGGACGTGCGAAGGAGAGGGCCGGGAAGCTGAGGGGTCACAACCCAGCCAAGTGCCCCCACCCAACCCCACCGCACCCTTGCCCGCCCGGCCGCAGGGAAACACACTCGAAAAAGCCATAGACAAAATGGGGCGCCGCTCCTCCTCCGAACACCTTCCCACAGGCGCTCGGGGGCGCGCGGACTCACCCCGAAGGAGTGCCTCCCACCCCCAGGGACCAGAGCAGATAAGTTACTCACTTGGGGTTGAGGGAGCTCCAGGACACGGGCTCTAGATTCTTGGCCAGCGGGGTGGCGAGCCGGCACAGCGCCAACACGACCATCGCCACAAGCCACTTGCCGAGCCAACGCTGGCCAGGCCGGGCCATCTTCCCTGGGGCAGGCTGCACTTCGGGATCCCCTGGCGCCTCCTCAGCAAAGCTGGCCTCGCCTTCCTGTGCCGCGCTGCGCTCCGAGACGCTTAGGCGCCCATCCTCCGCAGCCGCCGGCCTTGAAGTGCTCCCCTCCCGCCGGCTTCGGTGTCGCTCTTCTCCGCCCCGCCGGCCAGGAGGACTCACTGGGCAGCCGCCCCCAACCCGAGCATGAGCTGTGGCCTCCGAGGGCCCGCTCCACTGGCCTCTCCGCCGCACGAAGCACGACGGGGGCTCTGCGCCCCCGGGTGATCCCGTCCGATTCCGCTCGGCTCCCCGAGACTGTTTGGGACTGTGCGACCTCTCCCCGACGGGGTCTCACCGCTGGGGACTCGGTGGCCACCCGGACGCCTCGACCGCCCCGGGATCGGCACCCCTGGTAAGAAGTGGGAGTCTCCCCACCACACGAGCTCGGTCTGGGGGCTCCCGACCGGGCCGCCCTGGCACGGGCTCCGTTCCTCCAGGCCACACTGGGACTCCGGGCTGCGCGCCCCCCGACAGCTTCGACTTCAGCGCGGGGCCCGCTCAGTGTACTTAGAAGAGCGCGGAGACACTGCCGAGCGAGCTAGTCCCATCAGTTTGCGCCTCTGAAGCCTAGGCCGGGTGGCCCGGCAGCCCAGTTGCCGAGTCCTAGCTCCCTGGCGATTGCGCCCGAGGCTCTACGGTCAGTGCGAGGCTCACACACCTCCCACTGCTGACCAGCGCGCACACACTCCCTCCGCCGCCGCTGAGCTGTCTACTCCCCTGCTCAGGCGTACGCAAGGCCAACCCTACGCATCTTAGCCAATAACAAGCTCCGTCACGGGGTCCTTGCCCTGCACCACGCCCCCAGAACAGGAAGGAGGCGGGGTTTTAGGGAGCTCTTAAGGACGCCGCGCCCTCGATGGCACCAGTCTGAGTGTGCGGCTCCTGCGGTTATGGATGGATCCTGCCTAGTCCTGTTCCCAGAGCGCTCAGCCCGTGGGAAGTTGGCGCTCCTCTAGAGCTGTCGGCCTGCTCTCCTCCCCGAGCGCCTGGTCGACACTCCGGGCCACTGACCTGGGCCAAACAGGCTCAGTACTTTTCCCGGGAAAGTACTACCATTCTTTTTGTTACACACGCGAGCCCTGAAGTCCTTGCTCGGTGCCCACCTCCGTGACAAGGATAGCTTGTATACTCCTGGTCCCATCTCACATAGGGCTCTGGTGGGCTTTCCTCCTTCCGCCCTCGCAGTGCAGTGTCCGCTTGCACATGGACCCGGACCCGGAGTCCTGAACAAACGGATAACGGTGGGCGGTGGAGTCTCAGAGGGGTCAAGTACGGGAAAGTTGGGAAGATGAGTTCTTCGCCCCTGGGGAGCAGGCCTTGGGAATCTCAACTTTGGGGAAGAGACTTGTGGGACACCAGGGGCCCAGATTTCGAGTCTTGTCCTGTCTGAAGGCGCGGGCAAGGCCCTGGGATAGGCCAGTGGGGATGAGAAGGCACCTCGATAAAGAAAGACACCTCGAGGGCAAAGAGGAAAGGGCGTAGGGCAGAGGCGCCTTTCGAAAAAGCAAAAGTTGGAGCCCTGGTCCCAAGACGCCAGACTCCAGCACCTCCCGGCCTCGCCATCTGGGTCTTTGTCTCCCAGCCCCTTCTCCCCGCCCCCTCCTTGCTTCCTTGCTTATAACTTTGGCTCCAGCCCATAGCTCAGACCCTCCCGGGTCCCGACCCGCTCTCCCCAGTTGGACCTCAGCAGATGTACCCACGTGCTAATGTCTCCCCCTACTGGTCTTCTATAGCACCGCGGGTGCCTGGGACAGACTGAGAGCGCCCACTCCAACGGGAGCGTGGCACACACGAGCCTGGCACACGCGCTCGAGCACAAGACCCGGGACAGGGGTGGTGACCTTGGCTAGAACCGCGGCCCGGTATGGGGAGGAGGAGGGAGCACTAGGAGTAAGATCTGGGTTTGGGGTTGGCTCGGCGACTGCCGAGTACATAAAGTCTCCTTGCTGCTTCTTTATGGAGATAATTAGGTGAGCGACATTCCCAAAGTGCTCGCCATTTACAGTTTCCTGTCCTTCTCTCACTTAAGTAGGATGCTGATCTACTGAGTTCCTCACTGGATCCTCTGATGATCTCTTTGGTTCATAGAGTGGACCTCTATTTGGGGGGAAATAAAGAGGGAGAAGTGTGTTCCTCCCACTTTCAGGGACAGAGCCTGGAGGATGAGAAGGATCTGTGTAGAAAGAGAAGAAGAGGAGCTGTTTAGGGTCTCTCAGCTCCCGGCTGGACCCCTTATTGGGGTGTGAGCAAGAAGAGACAAGAACAAGGTGCAGGGACACACCAATAGTCCACCTTGGAGACTAGGATTGCCCGAAGTGCATGGCAGGACAGCAAAACCCGAGGATGGAAAACAGCCTGCCACTTACTGAGTGCCTACTATGTGCCAGGAACCATGGTAGAGGCATTTCCCTTCACAATCCTTTGAGATGAGTTCCACAATCCCTATTTTATGTAAGAGGGAAAACTAAGGCTCAGGGGAAGTGACTCATCTGAGGTCATGGAGCTGATTGGTGGTAGAAGCAGGATTTGGCCCCAGACTTCTCTGTCTCCTAAGCCTGTGCCCAGTTCCCTATACCATACTGACTCGCCACATTTCCAGCACCTTCTTGCTTACTTAATTCATTCCTGTTTAAAAGCTGGTTCATGCCTGGAAAGCAGCAACCTTCAGGACAGCCAGGACTCCACTCTTCACTCACAGTCCTCTGAGAGGTTTCTAGGCCTGGGAAAGTTCATCTGTGTCCCTGGCCATGCCCCCAAGTTCCCAGCTAGAGTCACCACCACCAATCCCAGAATCAGCCTCAGATTCCACTGCCAACATGCCCAGTGCCCTCGGAAGGTGAGCCCAAGACCAGGTGGGAAATGGGGCAGACGAAGCTATGCTGACAGACTTGGGAAGACAGCAGCAGCTCCTGAGTGTGCCAACGCCTCATCCTGGGTGGGGAGGGCACAGAGGAAAGAAGAGAGGACTCTGTGTCTAGGCCTGCCCCACAAGCTGGTCACCCCTGGTCACGACATAGCCTTTCTGCCTCAACTTGCCTACCAGAACCTCAGTAGCAGGGCTGGGCCTACTCCCTGCTGCAGCCAGGGCCAATGACTCCAGGCTCCCACCTCCTGCCCCACCCTAGCAGGGCTTCTGATGTAGTGATTCATGCCCCTGAGGTAGGGAAAAATTACTCCTCAGGGAAGCCAGAGAGGAAGTCAGGATCTGTGGGGGATGTTGACCCTCTCTTATCCAAGCTCTCCCTACTCCAGTGGCAGTCACACCCCTCCCCAAGCCTCCCAGATCAGTGTCACCGAACACACACATCCCTCAGGGTTCAAGTCCACCAGTGTTTCCTGAGCACTGATCCTGTGCTTGCCTCTGAGCTGGGATCCAAAGAGGAACCCACCAAGCCCTGCCTTCAAGGAGCTCCAAGCAGATGGAAATCAGTATGTGGGGGCCTCCTGGACCCAGGGACGCAGAACAACATCTAGCAGCTGCGGGAGGCCTCAGGTACCATAACAGCCCCCGGAAAGCTCAGCTTCCCACACCAATGGGAGGCAGGGGGAGTATGAACTTCAGAGCCATAGAGTTCACTGCTTATCAGTTGTGTCTCTTTGGGCAAGTCGCTTCCCCTGTGTGCTTCAGTTAACTCTTCTGTAACCTGAAGATCATCTCTTCTTCACGGAGCTGCGCTGAGTGGGGAGTGCGATAATGCACAGAAAGGGCTTAGCTTCGTGGCCGGCCCACCACGGTGCTTACTAAATGGAAACTATTATACCTCCACAGAGCCTCCCACAGAGACATCCTCATTCCCGGTCACACATGTTCTCACCCGTTCACACATGCTTTGTGTGCCATGCACACATTTTTTAGCTCCTCTCGTTTTCTCACACGTGTACATATTCATACATGAACTTGCCGTCTTCCTCCCCTATCGGTTCACGCAGCACCAGCTGACAGGCTTGGTTCCTGTCTTCACGGGACATGGAGCATAGTCCCCACATTTCCTCAAGTCACTGACCTGCTCACATGCATGAACATTCACACCCCCTCTCTATTACTGTGGCCCTTGTCCTTGACCTCTCCTTGCCTGCCTTGTACTCTCAGATAAGAGAAGTGAACTCCCTCACCTAAGGCCACACAGCCAGGAAGCAGAAGAGTCAGGATTCAAACCTGGGCCATTGAGCTGCACAACTTGAGCTTCTACACATGACTCTACTCGGACACCCCAGGGCTCTGGAAAGGAATGTGTGCCAAAGGGTGGACCTTGCACACTGAGGGCAGGAAGCCTGCCCCAAGGCCCCAGGCGATGCCAGCTGGGATCACTCCATGAGGCTAGCAGCCCTCTCTCCTACCTACGATCATCTCTGGCCTGCCCTAAGCCTCCTGTGTGTCCCTTCGAAGACCCACAACCTCTGCCTGCATCCTCCTCACAGATACACACAACCACTCCCTACAGGGCAAGGGAGAGCCATGTTTCTTGAACAACTTCTGTATGCCAGGCACTGTAGCCAGGTACTCTCACCCTTGGTCCTATGCTATCTTTGCTTAATTCACATAACATCCATGAGGTTGATATTGACAGGCCTATTTTAGAGAAGAGGAAACTGAGGCTCCAGGCTCAATCTGCCTGCATCCGCTGCCCCCGCCAACCTCAGCCTGCAAAGTCCTCTCTTGCCCAGCCAGATTTGTCCCGCCACCCGCTTCTCTCCTTCTCTCCCTCTGCCTTCACTGCCCTCTAGCTGAGACCAGTTGGGGTCTGTGTTGAGCCCAGGCTGTCCTCTCTCCCCCACGAATACCTTGCTTTGCTCAAGTCACTCTATCTCTGGGTCAGGCTCAGGACAAGCCCAGGGTGGGACCTGAGCCCTCCTACTCTTCCTCCCGCCTGCTGGCTGCACCACAACCCAGATCAAGCCCCAGGTGGGTAAGCCCTGCTAGTCTAGTTTCACAGCAGCCATGGAGATTCTCAGTGGCTGGGGAAAGAGGGGCTGGTCCCAAAGGCCAAGGGTTCAACCAAACGTTCAACCCTCCACCCCTCCCTGGTCCTTGCCCCAGCTTCATGCCTGGTTTATGGGTGTTTGCACTGAGATCACCTTGATCTTCCAGGTGTCAGCCTGGCTCTGGGTCATGCTGTTGGCAGGATGACACCAGAGATAGGAGGAGCCCTTCTCTTCATGAGATGGGCCTTCCCCGTCCCTCCCTCTCTCTTTATCCCCTCCTTATACCTCGTTACCCTTCCCTGGACTCCTAGAAATCTGTCCCAAGCCCATGGGCCCCACACAGGCAAATGGCCTGCCCCTGCTCCTCAAAAGAGCCTAGAACAGAGCATCTGAGGGCCAGCGCATGGCTCAGTGTGGCACAGCAGGTGGCACAGGCTCTGGACTGCAGCCGGGACCCTCGGCTCCTTAGAGGCCTCATCTTTGGATATCTGTGCCCTCCTGTGTATCACTGATCTGGGCTCAACTTCCTCTAGCAGTCCCTCCTGTTCTCACTCTGCAGCCCTGTGGGGGACAGCTATGGGGGAAGTCCTGCAGCACTCCAGCCCGGCCCACCTGTCACTCCCTCAACTCTGGTTACCTGGGGAATGTGCAAAGAGGGACTGGGCCATTCATCACTGTCAGGGGCTCAGGAATTCAGGGGTGGGGGGCAGCCGTTGTCACCACCTGTCACTGACCCCGGCCTAGCTCCCCATCTCAGAGAGCCAGTAAGCCCAGGGAAGGATGATGCTGGCTGCAGAAATGA